TAGGTAACAACTAGTTTTTTTGCAAGAGACATTCTGTTGTACTTGTTGTGACTAAGCTATCTTTATGTTAAATGTATTAATATTGTATGCAAATAGGCAATTGTATGTGTTTTACTGTTAATTATAAACCAATATTAAAGTTAATAATACATTTATGTTTCCTCCACCTTTGTACAAACTACTGCTCAGTGATGACAATGCTGTGATTTGCACTGCCTGCAATAATAGGAAAGTAACAGGCAAAAGGCTTTACATTTTTTTTCCAACACTGCAGTGTATGCAACAGTAATAGGTGTCACTGCCAATTATTTGCTGCATCTTCACTGAGCCCTTTAGTGTATTGAAATGGAAGACAAGGCTCACTGAACGATATTTGGAGTGAAAACGCTCTTACATGTCAGTAGTGATAAAAAAAATCACCCGACAATGCTATTGTGTGACTGACGTGCCCTTTGTCCTTTGTTCTTTACATGCAATGGACGGCAGTCTGTTGGAGAAGAAGCATAGAATGCAATAAGCTAGACAAGGAGTCAAAGAACTTTGATAAAGGAAGTGGGGCTCTGCGGGTTACTATAACAGACTCAAACAGAACAATGTCCTCAGGTTAAATACATTACTCACCCTGAAGAGTTTTACAACTTTTTTCCTCTCTCTGAGCCTATTTTGGTCGGCAAAACTTCAGTGAAATCACGATGAATCATTGCCAACAGCAGTGTATGGAGTGAACATTAGTTAGTAAATTATTAGATACTTTTTTATAAAAGCAGAGTACAAAAAAAATAAACATATAATGACTCAAATTAATTTAACTAAGAGGCTGTCTTGATGTCTGTTTATTCAGGAAAAAGTTTTGAAATCCTTCTCCATCCACTCTTAAAAATTGTTATGTGACTTAACATTTCCCTTTTTTTCAATTATAATTAACGAAGCAAGCTCATTTTGCTCTCAAAGTGAACTTGAACTTAAAAAGTGAAGGTTTTCTATCTAATAGGCAGCATATAGTAATATCAATTGCATCAAATAGTATCATGAGAAATTACTCTGTTGTCCTAAAGAATATGTAAACTCAACATTTCGTATTCCTGATATGTACCTGCTGTACCATGTACTTGTATGAAAAAGTATCCTGTTCTCTTTGTATTGGTTCCTTTATGTGAAATCCCTGATGTTCCTGCCAGTCCCCCTGCTTTCCTGTTAAAAAACTGACCACACTAGGCAGGAGAGCACACCGTGGTCAGTTCTCAATGTAATCACTTAAAAAAAAGGAAAAAGTATTTATAATCTGTTTTTTATATCTATACACAAATGTTTTGCCTTTCATTTCTATTTTAAACATAATAGGTTGTTTTAATAGGTGAGGGTTTACAATCACTTCAAATTCCTCCTTAAAATATAGTAGTGCACTTCCTGTGCCTTTGGAGTGTTGAAGCCAGAGGGTCCATTGCCTCTTAAATTTTCCCTAAGTAAGTTGGTGCACATGAATTTGTGGTTTGCATTTTAAGAATTTGAACATTTGTGGTAAGAGTAGGGGCAGCTGTATGTTTCCAACATCTAGCTACAGATAGTCTGGCTGCTATAAAGAGATGGGTAATATAGGTGTGATAGTTTGTGGGCCAGTTCTCAATACCTACTCCCAGTAGAGCTAGATTCAGGTCTGGAACAGTCACAATGTTAGTAATAGAATCATGAAAGACAAAATAGATTTTGAAAGTCATTAGGTTTTGAACAATCCCGGTAATCTTCAATTTCTCCAACAGAGAGGAAAGTGGTTAGGGAAGATAATTGCAACTCTACAAGGGGTATAGTACCACATATGAAGGATCTCTTGAACTGATTCCCAGTGAGAAATATATTTGTACATTTTAATGGGCTTCATTTTAAATTTTTTATGTCACAGGATATTAATGCAATGGTTTAGGAAACACAAAAAAACACAGTAAAAAATACACAAAAGTAAATTTTAGGGCATACAAGTGCAATAAATTACCCAATTTTTGATAAAATATAAAAGATGAGGATGTGATGTGTAAATAGATAACCAACATGTGTTCGCTTGGCTCTCTCCTGTCTAGCCAACGGCATCTACCATGCTTATCTGTATCAGTCAATGGGTGAGCTGAGCCCGGGAAGTATGATGGGGGCATGCGCGGAGTGGGAAGCAGCCCATTACCATGGTGTATGAAAATGGTCAGGGAGCTGCACAGCCGTTTAATCACTTCCAGCTGACAGCTTGCTTCTCACATTTACACTCACTCCTGGCAGCTGCAGCTAATGGCAGTGTGTGTAAAACCTGCTGCTATCACTGACATAGATAATATATTGATGGGAACAAAAGGGTTAAAGCTTTCAGATGTTAATACCATTTTAAATGTTTACTAAAGCCAGAGTTTTTATTAAAATGCTACATAATTGTCCTACCATGAAGGTCTTTGTGTAGGCACTACCTGTAACAGGGTGACAATGCCCTGGCCTTGACTCACAGTTGTGCTCCTGCCTTGTTACCTTGTCACATGAAGTTTCAATGAAGCCAACAAGTGGCTTTTTACAGACTTTACACAAAGCATATTCCACTGCACAGACAAAGGACATCATGCAGATAGGAAATGGGTGCATAGATAAGCAGTACTGAGATGTAACAAAGATGAAAACATGTGACAACAATATGGCCACAATACGCATTATAAGGTGTGAAATCCAATGCCTGAATAGCAACAAAACGTGTGTAATTACAAAAGACACAAGCAAGTTGAAAATATCACAAGCATCTGTAAAATACACTGGAATACATTGGGGGGATTCACTGCAACTGGAGCACAAATGTAGTGCAGCTGTGCATAGAAACCAATCAGCTTCCACGTTTTTATTGTCAAAACTTAATTGAACAAGCTGAAGTAAGGCCAGCCATACATTGGTTGATTTTCTAACAATTTTTCGTTATAGAAAATTGGACCCAAGAGTAATCGGACGATTTTCATCTGTTAGTGAGGCAATGGCACCAGACAATTTTCGTGGTTCCTCCCCATTTCGTTTATCGGGCATGCTGGAAAATTTGTGAAAAACAACCGATTTTCAAAATCATTGGCAGCACCATCAGATTACAGAACAAACAACGTTTTCGATTTTCAATCGAAAAAACTGTTCGGAATTCGACCCATGTATGGCCTGCTTTAGAAGCTGATTGGTTACTATGCACAGCTGCACCACATTCTGAGTGCACCTGTTTTGGTAAATCCACCTTATTGGCATACAATGGAGTACTGGAATGCAGTACTGAAGTCAAAGCATCAACACAGCAGCCACATCAATGATAGCAGCCTCCTTATTTCATTAATCATAGGATTACTCAGAGCAATGCACCAGGTTTGCTTCACTTACAGTTTGCTTTCTTAAAAAAAACAGCTACAGCCTGAGTGGAAAAGCAATCTGTTCTCTGACAGAATGCTGTAGATAAGTTCCCCTCGGTGTCAGAATGCCCACCGCATCCTTGCCTAGTATAAAATAAATTCCAGTATATAATACCACCAATTTGTAAACGCTATAACTTTCACATAAACCAATTTCATTTACATGTATTAGGATTTTTTTATCAAAGACGTAGCAGAATACATTTTGGCCTAAATGTATGACGATGTTTGATTTTTAACATTTTTTTACTGGACATGTTTTAACCCTGCAATCCGCATAGTTGCTGATTACAAAAAATTGTCAGTCAAAGTAAAGCAGTGCCGTAATGCAAAAAAAAAAGCAGTGCCTGGTCATGAAGTGGGGTAAATCCTCTGGAGGGCACGATAACAGTCATTAACAGATGATGTGTTGGACTTCTGCAGAGTCACTACTTTCACACAGAGAGAAACAGTCGCACAGCTGCTGGCAGGGGACAGGCTTTTCTATTCAGGCTGTATAAAAATGAACTGTTATGTAGTAAACATCTTTTGTTTTGATACACATGGAATGTATTTAGCTACATGTCGAGTTTGAGAGGAGTTGAAGCTTGACAACTCCTTTCATTCAATGGTAACCTGCCATAAACATGCCTGTAGCATTTATAGCATGTTTACAGCACATTTGACAAGCATTAACCAGAGATCAGTGAGATGGAAAAATAATCACTTAGAGGGCAACTGGAGTATGTTTTTTAAATCGCCCTAAACACACATAAAGTAGTTGTGAAGGCTGAAGGGATTTTTACCTTCATGCAATCTATGCCTGAAGGTAAAAAACCTTCTGTGTGCTGCTTCCCTGACAGGCCCCTAATACCCACCTGAGCTCCCTCACAATCCAGTAATGTGTACAGGAGCCTTGACTGTCTTGGGTCTTTCTCTGCTCATTGGCTGAGATTGGCTTCCACTGCTGTCAAACACAGCCAGTAAGTCAATGAGGAGAGAACTGGGAGCAGAGTTGAGCTGCAGCTCTATGTGTCTTATGGATTCATAGAGCAAGGCTTGGAAGCGAGCATGCACCTGTGCCCCCATAGCAAGTAGCGTGCTATTGGCTCCCACTGCTGTCAATCACAGTCATTTAGTCAATGAGGAGAGAACAGGGGCAGGGCCGAGCCGTGGCTCTATGTGTCTTATGGACTAAGAGAGCAGGGTTTAGGAGCGAGCATGCACCTGTGCCCCCATAACAAGTAGCGTGCTATTGGCTCCCACTGCTGTCGATCACAGTCATTTCATCAATGAGGAGAGAGCAGGGACAGGGCTGAGCCATGGCTCTATGTGTCTATGGACTAAGAGAGCAGGGTTTAGGAGCGAGCATGCACCTGTGCCCCCATAACAAGTAGCGTGCTATTGGCTCCCACTGCTGTCAATCACAGTCATTTAGTCAATGAGGAGAGAACAGGGGCAGGGCCGAGCCGTGGCTCTATGTGTCTTATGGACTAAGAAAGCAGGGTTTAGGAGTGAGCATGCACCTGTGCCCCCATAAGTAGTGTGCTATTGGCTCCCACTGCTGTCGATCACAGTCGTTTAATCAATGAGGAGAGAACAGGGACAGGGCCGAGCCATGGCTCTATGTGTCTTATGGACTGTGACAGTGTGGTGATCTGTCAAAATATAAAAAGGATATTTCACCTGGGATTCTCAACAAGGCAGGTTGAGGGGCTCCAGGGTACTTGTTTTTGATGCAGAGGAAAGTGGCTTTTCACTTTCCTCATTTGTTTGTAAAGTCAATTTTGAGACCTGGAGCCTGGAGATTTCAAAGTGATTTGGGAGGGATGAAATCTTCAATCCTGGGACCAGGTTTTGGGAATGGGCCAGGAGACTGATTGGTCAGGTGTGCATGGCTCTCTTCTAGAGTCAGGACCAGGGTTCTGGGCTCCACCCTGGCAGACAGGAGGTCATTGCCCAGGAGTCAGGAGGGCTCCACCTAGGAGAGGTGAAAGCCAGAGCAGCAAAGTGCTGCTAGCTGTGTGTAAAAAGCCATTTTTATTTGGAAGGAGGCTGTGTGTGTTTAAGGAGTCCAATGCTGTGTGCTGGGACTAGCCATTGGTCTGGGAGACCCATATAAATAGAGGTACTGCTAACCAGCATGGCTGATAAAGAGAGCCAGGAGGTTGAATATTTTTGTTTGTATTGATGGTGGATACCCCTGTGTGGGAAATCTGTTATATGGAACTTTCTTTTAAATAAAATTGGTCAAAAACAGCCCTAAAAAAAAGAAGCAAGTGAGTGACTGTGCTTAAAATGCTCTACCCTTGGTACTAGTTCCCACAGGACTAAGAGTGGGGTTTAGGAGTGAGCGCGCACCTGTGCCCCCATAGCAAGTAGCATGCTACTGGCACCCACTGCTGTCAATCATAGTCATTTAATCAATGAGGAGAGAGCAGGGGCAGGACAAAGCCATGGCTCTATGTGTCTTATGGACTAAGAGCGGGGTTTAGGAGCGAAGCACGCACCTTAGCCCCCATAGCAAGCAGCTTGCTATTGGGGGTACTGGTCACGGGAGAGGAGCCAGGAGTGCTGGCAGGGGCCCGAGAAGAGGAGGACCAATGCTGCTCTGTGCAAAACCATTGCGCAAAGGAGGTAATGATTGTTTAAAGAAAAAAAAAAAAGAACCTTTAATATCACTTTAATGCTATAGCTGCTTTGGTTCATGTTACTGTCCGTATTAGTATTTTTTGCAAGTGCTTGACTTAGCCTAAATAGCTTGTTTGGGCCAAGTTCGTGCAATGCATCCCACTGTTTACTTCTTATCTTTTTTTTTTAATAATTTTATTGAAGTGTCACAAAATGACAATTCATTCAAATATATGCATATTACTGCATTGCATTTTTACACAGTGCATTACAACACACCCAGGGGCGGACTGACAACTCATGGGGCCCCCGGGCAATAGGGGATCATAGGGCCCCTGTGTCCTTGACCAAACTCAAAAAAGCCTATGAAAAAGGTACCAGGGGTATCTCATGGGGCCCCCTACTGACCCCGGCCCTCAGACAGTGCCCGAGTTTCCAAATGGTCAGTCCGCCCCTGATCACACCTCAACACATCATTATGGAAATAGGGTCCATAGGCCGCAACTGTTTCCCCTAGCACTGAGTCTGTGCTGATCTGTGCAGAGCCATACAGCTTAACCACCCTAGTGGTATGATTATTTCATATTTTTGGTGCTGAAAGCGGTACCATTATTTTGCATGGAAATATGTAGTTTTTTTATTGTAGGCTGTAATTTTTAGGAATAACTCACTGAAATCTGTCTGAACAAGATTCTAAATCATACATTTAATTCAATACTATAATCAAACCAAAAACACTGAAATTTGAAATATAGCGCCAAATTCGCACATCGCTGAGCAAAGTCGCAAAATCGTTTTCAGTGTCTGACGACGAATTTCCCCACTAATCATTATCACTCAATTCTGCAAGTGGTTCTAATTTACTATCGCTGTTCTCTAGCTGATCTAAACCCGCTTTTGACCTAAAGGGACACTTTTTGGACGCCATGGACTTTTCTAAGTTTCCAGGCAGAAAGAACAATCAAAATGCAGACAGGGGACAGGACAAAGCACTAGGGACAAAATGTATGTGAAATGGGTTGAAACAGCAATGTTTTACTATGTAAAATCGTTTTGAAAAAAATTACATTTTTTTTTAAATTTTCAAATTTCCCGCTGCCGCCAGCGCCCGTACGTCCCGACGTCACAGGGACCGGAACACAGGAGGCATATGCCGGCATCCGCCGGAGGAGATGGCCAGGGACACTGCAGGGGACACATCGTGGGAGCCAAGGACAAGATAAGTGCTGCAGGGACTCCCTATACAGCGCCGCATGGTAAGCCCGAGTGTAGCTCGGGGTTCCGCTTTTGGTACAGACATTTTACCCGAGCTACACTCGGGAATACCGTTAGGGAGGTTAAAGTGTTACTAAACCCACACCAGTAAAATCAGTCTGTATATGCAGTAAAGCATGCTTGTTATACTTACTGTTGAACCCAAAATCCACATTGTGTAAAAAGGCTGCTTGATCCTGTCTTCTTTGATCTTACCCTTCTTCTACTGTCCCCAATCTACCTGCTGATAGTACTGATTTCTTGGAGTCACTCTGCACATGTTCAGTTTAATGCATATTGCTAGAGTTATTTTTTCTTTGGGGGGATGCATGTGATCAGCAAAGGGCTAATCAGAGCTGTCCAGACAGAAGGCCAGGGGTCATGCAGCCTCATAGGACAATCAGAGGAGAATGAAAACTCCTACAAGCTTTAACCAGTGCTCAGCAGGACACTGATAGAAATCAAAAGACTGCTATATATTGCTACAGGGAAAAAGGTATTTAGCAATTCATATTTACTAAAATAGTTGCATTTCCATGTAGTGTATACTCTTTGGGAGACCAGATATAGTGAATGCAGGGTCCTGGGTTTAGTAATACTTTAATTCAGAGAGTGTGAATGATCCCTCAATGCTCGGTTAATTCCTCCCAATATGCAACATGCCCACTTCTTCAAGTATCTGTACTGGTGTGAACATTATAGTAAATAGATAACATACTGTCACAAAAATATCTATTTATAAAAAAAAATTGTGCAAAAGCTAGTAATAATACCCCTAATGTTTGTGATATGCCTGAAATGTAATTTTCTACTTCTTGCCGTTTCCAGAGTGAATGTAAAATTTTTTCCTAAGAGAAAAAAGTCATAAGAACATTTAACCAGAAGAGTTAAAATTTGACTGTGCACAAAGCGGATGGAGATTTCTCTGTTCAACACTAACAGTGATATGAATCAGCTACTGAATACAGGGAACTGAACACAGACCTATACAATGTTGCAGAATGCCATTGTTCACATTGTTTTGGTTCTCTGTTACTCATCTGTATGAGTAGCAGAGAAAGTATTTCAGTCCAGTAAACTTTTCAAACAACATTATTCTGTCTCTGCAACATTGTATCAATTCTGTATCGCAGCTCCCTCTCTGTAGTATCGGATTCATTACACAGTTAGCATTGCGCACAGGAATCTCTAATGCAGTGGTCCCCAAACTGCAGCCATCTGCTTGCTTTTATCCGGCCTTTGGGGCAATGATTTATCCACTGATACCACCAATGGGGCATAATTCCCAGCACTGACACCAATGGTGGAGCACAAATCCTCCCAATGACACCAACGATGGGCTGCCATTGATCCCACTGACACCAAGAAAGGGGCAAGGTGCATTCTCACTTACATCAGGACCTTTTCTACTCCCAATGGCCACAGTACGGCCCCCTTAAAGTCTGAAGGACAGCAATGAGACCAGCAATCAGGCTCCAATGACACCAATGACAGAGCACAATTCCTCCCAATTAAACCAACGATTGGCTGCCATTGCTCCCACTGACACCAAAAAAGGGGCAAGGTTTATTCCCACTGATGGCAGGACCTTTTTCTACTCCCAATGGCCACAGCCCGGCCCCCTTAAAGTCTGAAGGACAGCAAACTGGCCCTTTGTTTGTAAAGTTTGGAGACCACTACTCTAAAGGCCTTGTATACATTATTTCCTCTACTATTCGAATGTTCTTCATTACCAGGGTTCCATGGAACTGACACCATTGATCCTTTTAGCTACCTATAAGGAGCAATCTTCGCACTGACCATCACACTAATGTATCCTGAGTTGTAGATATAGCAGTTTTTAGCAGGAGTTCCCTGGGGCTGAAATATTATTTGAAGGGTTCCTCTGTGATGAAAAGGTTGACAAAAGCTGCTCTATACTGTTAGGCTTTGCTCTATTGGTTGAATGTTCTTTAAGGCAAGGTTCACATCTATGCAGGCTGCAATTGATGTTTTTTCCAGTGTGTTTTGTGGTGCATTTTTTTAATTGTGTGTTTGATGTGTTTTGATGCATTTTGTTATGTGTTGTGTGTGGGTTTTTTTGGCTAATAGCAAAGTATGACAGTTCTGTTCATGTAGTGCGACTTTGAAGCAACTTTGATGCGACTTTATACTCTCTGGCACTCAAGTAGCATCAAAGTCCTATCAAAGTAGTGTGGGAACCTCTGTGTCCAAAGCCACATGTTAGGGTTAGGGTTAGCGGTAATTATTAAGGTTAGGGTTAGCGGTAATCATTAAGGTTAGGGTTAGCGGTAATTATTAAGGTTAGGGTTAGCGGTAATAATTCGGGTTAGGGTTAGCGGTAATCATTAAGGTTAGGGTTAGCGGTAATCATTAAGGTTAGGTATAGGGTATTAAGGTTAGGGTTAGCGGTAATCATTAGGGTTAGGGGTAATCATTAAGGTTAGGGTTAGGGGTAATCATTAGGTTAGGGTTAGCGGTAATCATTAAGGTTAGGGTTAGGGGGAATCATTAAGGTTAGGGTTAGCGGGAATCATTAAGGTTAGGGTTAGCGGTAATCATTAAGGTTAGGGTTAGGGGGTAATCATTAAGGTTAGGGTTAGCGGTAATCATTAAGGTTAGGGTTAGCGGTAATCATTAGGTTTAGGGTTAGCGGTAATCATTAAGGTTAGGGTTAGCGGTAATCATTAAGGTTAGGGTTAGGGGGTTAGGGGGAATCATTAAGGTTAGGGTTAGCGGTAATCATTAAGGTTAGGTTAGCGGTAATCATTAGGTTAGGGTTAGGGGTAATCATTAGGGTTAGGGTTAGCGGTAATCATTAGGGTTAGGGTTAGCGGTAATCATTAGGTTAGGGTTAGCGGTAATCATTAAGGTTAGGGTTAGCGGTTAATCATTAGCGTTAAGGCTAGTGGTAATTATTAAGGTTAGGGCTAACAGCAGTCGTTAGGGTTAGCGGTAATTGTTAGGTTTAGGGCTAGCAGTAATCATTAAGGTTAGGGTTAGCGATAATTGTTA